TTAAGTTTTGTGGCTTATTGATTTACTGTTTCTATTTTGAAGTCATTTTAGAGTGTGCAATTTGATACGTACCAAGGTGTGGAAGAGATAATTCGGAGAGTGATACATTGGAAGGCTTGGAGGGTACGTATTTGAGATGGTTTAGCGCATCCTCAGATTTGGATAGCACAGGGGCGCCATTTCAGTTTTTTTTAAGGTGTGCAAACAATTAAAGAGGCCAATTTTTTCCCACCTCCAGGCTAATCGTTAAAAAAACGTTTCTAGTGTTTTCAGTTTTTCTCAGTGATCTCATGATAATAAACGTGGAAAAGGACGAGGCCAATAAAATAGATTTAAATAAAGCTATGGATGATTTTGGGAAAATGAAGAATAGGAGATATCCACTTTTTTAATAACTTTTAGTACTTTTACTGTTATACCTATTTACTTAGTTAAAGTACATAATTAGTTTTTGTATTTCTTTTTATGTTATTGTTTAATACAAATATTATTAAATATATCTTTTTTTATTTATATGAAATTGGTTAAATATGTTTGAAAAAAAGTATTAATGAGTATTTGAATATTAAAATGTGGGGATATGAGTGAGCGAAGCGATCGGAAATTTTTTTAAGTTCCACTAAATAAACAGGATATATAAATAGCCTGGTGGAGGGAACAATTGGCCTGATTCAAATGTTTGCATCCCTATTGAAAAGTTGAAATGACGTCCCTGGAATAGATGCGTATTATTATGTCTGTTGTTTATCAATAAACAATTACAATTATCAATTACACATATTTGTGTGTGCCAGTGGATAAAGTGATACCGATATCAATTTATCAATTATCAAATTGAAGAACACAATAATATTATAATATAATTTATGATTATCAGTGAATAGCTGCGGTGCATGTACAATTAAAGATAAGCAAACTGAAGGCCATAGTATTAATGAGGCCTAGGCCAATTGTGGACACCAAAATTACAGGGTGTGCGAGTGCACACCCTGCCCCCCCCCCCAAATGGCGCCCCTGGGATAGCATAAGCCCAGATAGGCCGTAATAAGGATTTGTAGATGATTATTTTTGTGTGGAAGGGTAAATTTGATTTCAGAATTGGGCGAAGTAAGTGGAGTCGACTATTGAGAATTTTTCTTTTTGACTTGATATGAGGACCCCAGGTCAATCTTTTGTCAATTAGGACGCCGAGGTATTTTACTTCTGAGGATATTGGGATTTGTACTCCTTGAAAATAGAGGGGAAGGGGTATGGACTTTTTTAGTGTAAATGGGACATAAATTGATTTGTAGGGATTAATTTTGATTTTCCAGTTGGATGACCATTTGTCTATTAAGTCTAAATTTGTTTGTAAAAAATGTACAGTTTCTACAGGATCATTACCTGCAGGTGAGAAAATTGCAGTGTCGTCAGCACAGAAGTAATTTCTTAAATTCATTAATATAGAAATTATTTATAATTGTTTGTGTTTGATGAAGTGCCATAATGTAATACAAATAAATTAACTTAGCTTATAGCGGCCACTATAATATGTAAAACTCCAACTAAACATACAATGCTGACATAAATGTTTACATTTCCGTTTTATATTTGTACAATATTACCATGATTGCACTATATTTTAAGTATACCTACCCATTGGCGTAAATAGTGTTTGAAATTTGGGGGGGCTGAAGCTCAGTCTATACTTGAAACTCTTATGATGCTTTTAAATTATAGTAGTGAAATCATTAGTTTTTGGGGGGCTATAGAAACTTCAAGGGGGGCTAAAGCCCCCTAGCCCCCCTCCTATTTGCGCCTATGTACCTACCTACATATTTTATTTTTTGAAGCAAGCACGGATTTAGTTACGACGGGTGTGGTAGGGCCACCCATTTGTTGGCCGTACCAAAATGTATTTCCTATTGAATTTATTTAAATTGAATATTTTGTGTTATTCCATATAAATGTATAGGTAGTTATAATATTATTATGATCTTATATTGTTACAGTAACAGTTGAAAAATATTAAAAACACATAATATGCTCGTATTTTTTTATACCTACGCATTGAAAGTTCAAATGTTGATGACATTTATCAAATTGAAAATTTACAAATTGTTTAGTACTTAGTAGTTAAAATGTATAAAATGTTCAACTTTTATAGCTAAGGATTAAAAATGTAAAACAAGGTTCTACGGAAGTAGTTGTTACTGCAACCAAAAAATCTAAATAATAAAGTATAAACACAGTTTTTTTTATAGTTACTTCAATTTCAAAAATTTAAACGAGATTACATGTTAGTTAATTAATTATTACATATTATTACCTGCAAGAATAACGATTATTATTAGGGCACGGATGATGTTGCATTTGCAACTTTTTTTCTACTTTTTCAATTAATTGCTAAGTAAGTTTTAAATACGTTTCATGTAAGTACGAATTCAAATCTAAAAGTTTTAAGTGCAATTTTTTGCAATTTTTGGGAATTTTTCAATCTTATTGCAATTTTGTCGAATTTACTCATTTATACAACAATTTTAGCCATATTAAAACTTATATATGACTTAAAACCATTATTAAAATGAATGATATACTAGACTGAACAGTAAGCGATTTATCTTATTTTAAATACGCTCCGCTTACATCAACCGACGTAGAATGAAGTTTTTCCAGATATAAGAACTTACTAGCTCCAAATCGAAGAGGGTTTGATTTCGAAAATTTAAAACAAACACTTATAGTACAGTGCAATGATGTATAATATAATAAATTTATAATGGTATGATTATAATGTAATGTATATATTTTTTTTGAATTATTTAGAATTTTAGATTATAATTTATAACAATAAACTTAAAACATTTATAACAAAACGTTGTTATTTTTTAGTGCAATTTTTAATATTTTAAGTGCAATTTTTGGTATTTTTTAGTGCAATACTGCAATCAATTTTACTATTTTTTTAGTACTACAACATCCGTGCCCTAATTATTATTATCTATAATATTAATTATTATTATTGTTCTATGGGATCGAGATCAAAATTCGAATGGTCCGTCTTTTTTTCCTCCATGATCGGTGTCTTATTCTTCCACGATCCTCTGGTGGATTCTAGAATATTCTACCCCCGATTTTGATACGCTGCGCGTGTATAATGTATATGTGTGTTTAATACAGTATAACTGTCCGTGGGTTAGTGTCCTGTGTTTGTTGTGCATTGTGCAATGCCATTCGATAAACGCTTTCGTTGCAGTACGCCAATAAGATTTCTTCGTCGAAAATAATATTTCCAAACACGGAAGATTAAAAAGTAACAACTTACAATAAATCCTTAGAAGTTACATGCTACACAATATTTTACGCCTGTGGACATTTGTTATCTTGAGTGAAATTTACTCGTGAAAGAACATCATTCACTTTACGTGTAAGTAATTTGTATTTTTACTACCTACGCCAAAATTAATTGGATTACCCGTAGGTCATAAAATGTTATTATTATTGTACTCGTCTTTGGATGTGTACCTATTGTTGTGTGCTATGTGTAAGTCGTCTTCCTGTGTTCAACGCAATGGATATTTATACAGAATATAGGTACATGTGGTGGGTGGGCTTGTGGTTTTTTTTTTATCTATTATTGAATTGCATATTAGGTATTTTATGTCCATGTTTCTCTATTTAATTTGCTTGTACATTTTTAACTGCGATTTCGGTTTTTGTTGTACGTCTATGGTCTATCTACTACACATTATTTCGACCTTATACTGTTTGTTGAAGTGTGATAACCGTAGCTTGTAAGTAGGTACTTATATGGTAGTGTATATCTGTATCACGAGAATTATAAATTCAACAATCCTTCATCCATCTATGTAGGTATAGAAAGTTCAAAGTTATATCTATAGTTGTAGTTGTTTAATGCTTACATTAAAATCCTTATAAGAACTCATAAATAAAACATTTATGTTATTTTAACCAAATGGTAATATGATTGAAAAACTGTTTATATCTTTGTAGGTAGTTTACTCTACTGTTTGAGCTAATATAAAGCTTACATTATTGTACACACTTCATAATTTATACAAGAATAACATATTTTTTTTATAAATCTTGAATTTAATGTTCTAATTAAGTAGGTGTCTAGATACTTCATATTATAAAAATATAATAAAATATTACTTAATATAGTTTTGATTAATATCTATACTTAATGTCTAATGATGTTTAAGTTGTATATAATATACCTAGTCAATAACAATACATACAGTATTTATCATTATTGAACTCAATTCCCAACTTCTCCTACACTATCATAATCAATAATTTGTTTGATTTTCTAATTGGAAATGTTACAGACTTAAATGTTTTTTTTTTTTTTTTTTTTTATGTTTAACCAATATTTTTTTTATTTCATTTACAAATGATTTAACATGTTAGTATTAATATTTGTGAGTTATAATATGAAACTCTTTCTCTTTTCCCCATTCCGACACACTTTCCTCTATTTTATTAATATAGCCATGGCCTATCCATTCAGTAATATCTATGGTTATAATTTATAACACCTACTTATCTATCTACTTGTTTATAACCTGATACAAATTAAATTAGAACAAAATAAATATATAGGCATTGATTCAGATTATATAGATATCATAATTCTTAATATTAAAAATGTTACAATTACCCATGACTTATTGATATCTTTATAAGCAGTGGCTAACCTATTTTTCTTTTATAGTAAATAAATAATTTTTTAATTTTTTTGTTATACATAAATCATTATTTTAACAACTATTAACTTTCATGTGAAATATATGACTATTAGATAAAACGTTCATTAAAGCAGACAAATATTAATTTTTTTTGTCGCACAATTATTGTATTTATGTATCCCACCTTCCTACTAAAAAGCTTTTATTCGGTATCGTTAATGTATTAGGCAATCAGCACCATTAGGTATATTATTATAATTTTATCCTAATTATGAAATCCTTGATAACAGTTGAATTTGATTTTAGCATATGATGGGAAAGGACTATTACCAAATCCTAGGAGTGTCAAAGGGAGCCGCAGACGATGAAATTAAAAAGGCTTATCGAAAATTGGCACTCAAATACCACCCAGACAAGAACAAAAGTGCTGGAGCCGAAGAAAAATTCAAAGAGGTAGCAGAAGCATATGAAGTACTGAGTGATAAAAAAAAACGGGATATATATGATAAATATGGAGAAGATGGTCTTAAAGGAGGTGTTGGCCAAGGAAATAATTCTAACAACTATTCCTATACTTTCCATGGCGATCCTAGAGCAACATTTGCACAGTTCTTTGGTTCATCAAATCCATTTGGCAATATATTTGGTAATAGTGGTGGTTCAATGTTTGATGATGAAATGGACTTTGATGATGGTTTTATTCGAATGTCACATGGACCACCTGGCATGGGTGCTTTCAGGTCGCAGTCATTCAATGTTCATGGTTCACCAATGGGAAGAACTAAAGAAAAAGCTCAAGACCCAGCTATTGAACATGAAGTATATGTATCATTAGAGGATATAAGTAGAGGATGTACAAAAAAAATGAAAATCTCCAGACGAGTGCTCCAAGCAGATGGGACTTCTAGAAAAGAAGATAAAGTGTTAACAATCAATATAAAACCTGGTTGGAAATCGGGTACTAAAATAACATTTCAAAAAGAAGGAGATCAAGCAATGAACAGAATACCTTCAGACATTGTTTTTGTAATAAGAGACAAACCTCATCCAGTTTTTAAACGTGATGGAAATGATATTAGATATACAGTTCCAATTACTCTTAAACAAGTAAGTTTTTTTTTTTTTTTTTATCAATGATTTTAAAATAATAAAAACAATTGTAATTTATAGGCACTATGTGGTGTAGACATTGTAGTTCCTACTTTAACTGAAAAAAAATTACCTCTCAGCCTAAAATCAGAAGTTGTTAAACCCACAACTACAAAACGATTTCAAGGTTATGGACTTCCGTATGCTAAGGAACAATCAAGAAGAGGAGATTTATTGGTGTCGTTTGATATTAAATTTCCTGAAACAATTTCACCTGCAATGAAAGCTGTTTTGTGCGATACACTACCGTAAGTGGTTTAAATTGGTTCAAAATTATATTTGGCCTTTTATTTTGTCTAATGAAAATATTTTTTTTTTTTTTTATATACATGATATATTATTATATTTATAAGATATATTGTATGTTTCTTAATCTTGTTTTTTTTCTAACATCTTCGTTGATTGAAGATAAAATAATAAATATTCCCGAAGTTAATAATTTAGGTCTAATATGTACATAGAATTTAACATTAATTTTTGTTAATAAATTGAACAACATTCTGGTTTATCTGTATGCGACGATTTTTTTGAATTTTTATTGAAATATTCCTCGTTATTTAATCTGTGAGCCAAAACTTGTAGTTCTATTTATATATACAGTGTATATTTTATTTATAGATATTTTCATGTAAAGTTACATGAAAATATTGGCTCTTGTGCCTAAATACGCCACTGGACAAATTATGTTTTACAATAATTATTGTATATTTATTGCTAATTTATGTATATAAATATGTAATTATATTAAAACAATAAGAAAACTAATTTATTTAAGTTATAAATTATTAGTTGTATTTTTATTTTGTATACAACAATGTCTAGATTTTATTTTCAAACATCTTTTGAATTTTTCATTTTATAAAAATAATTTTTTATTATAAATACTCACTGATAGGAGTCAACATTTCTTCAAATGCTGACAATTGATTACATTACCACTTTATAGGGGAATTCAGGAAAATTTTGTTTCATACATTGTATGGTTTTGATAAACTATAAGTTTTTTCAAAGTACACCTTACCAGTTGAAATAAAGTAGATTTCTGACTATAATATGGTAATAAGTACAAACTAATAATAGTGAATATAAAAATGTAGAGTTCATATATAGTTGGTGTCTAGGGTTCATCATAAATTGGAACCTACTAAACTTTTTCCTGCACCTGTGAAGATTTTATATTTCCAGAAAAGATGAAATATGGATATAATTGAGTTCTAATTTCTAACTATATAGTATAAACCCATATGACTTGGATCTTCATAGACACAATAAGTATACTCAACAAAATGTGTGTAAAATTAGGGCTGAGCGAGCGTGCATTCCAACCAATAAAATATGGCAATTTCCAGGGCCTGATTGGGTGATCTACCGAGAAAATCTCGGTGGGCCAGTCGTGTGAGGGAAAATAAATGCACGCTTAAAATACAATTACCCACCTATAAACTAATTATTTTTGTATAATTTTGAGCCACTCAATATGTAAATGGGCCACTTAGAAGTGAAAATCTAATTTAAATGGACTGATATATACCAAGTGATTTCTTTCTATAAAAAATTTTAATTGCCCATTATTTTGTCAGGTTATTGGTTTTTTAGTGCATTAAATTCAGAAATATTCTTCGGATAATTTCTATTTTAAAATATAGGAGGACGTCACACCCAAGTGTTATCAGTCTTACACACATAAACAATACGCGTTTACGCAGTGTGAGAAGTACTAGCTCAATTTTGGTGTTAGAATAAAAACACCTATAGTATTACAAAATTAAAAGATTTACTTTTTATTAATTATACAGTATATTATAATATTATATTAGAATCTGTTCCTATAGGAACAATAAGAATATGAGGTAATAGAAAAAAATAAATATACATGATTATACTTTGATGAGAAAAGTCGTCACCCAGTGGTAAGAGAACCTTTACTTAAGGAAAATTAAAAGATGACAATACTGTTTTTTTTTTTTTTAAGTTAGAGGTATTTTAAAAATTTTGCTATTTCTAAACAATATAACTTATATTATATTGGGTATAATGGAAAAAAACGCAATGACATGCTCTCAGAAATATTGTCACTATTCAATTTTATAATAGGTAAGGTATTTTTTACTTTAGAACAGTGTTTCCCAACCGGTGGTCCGCGGTACCTTTCTTAGTTTTCTATTAAAAATTATTTTTTTTTTTTTAAACAGCGAAAAATATTTTATTTTACCGTAATATACGGTTATCTTATCGTATACAAAAATCACACTAAGTAAATTATTAGTAAAGTTTAATAATTATATATAATAGTACAGTAAAATAATAAAAATTTTCCAATAAATTTTTGTGTATTCTTGTTAATGAGCAAAAAAAAAAAAGTCTTCCTAGTTTGCGTAAAGTTGAGGTGGTCCGCGACCTATAAAATATTGTCAAAGTGATCCGTGGTGGTAAAAAGGTTGGGAAACACTGCTTTAGAACCAAAATTGAGATTTATACTGGGCAAACACTTATTGACTATATCATTTTATGTGAGTAAGACATGGACAACACATGCGGGGATGTGACGTCCTCTTAAGGAAAAGTATTTATATTATCGAGACTATTAACATCTTAGGTCTCATGAATAGTGGAGCTCATTTAAGGTAGCGAGTAGTGGAGGTCAGCCATTTTTAATAATGAATGGCCAGTGAGGCCCATTCGTAATTTTTTTTTTTTTTAAGACATAATATTGAATCACAAGCGAGTATAGGTGTGAAAAAAATATTTATTTAATTTAGTGTATTCTTCATGAACACATCTCAGTGTTGCCAATTAATTTAGGTAGTTTTATTTTTTACCGTATGCAATCTACCCACAATATTTATATTATGTACATGTAGATCTCTTAGTGAGATACAAATGTATATAAAACATAAAATATTAATGGAGTCACAGGGGAAGCTTCAGATTAAGATTCTGCATACTTTGAACACAACTTCTGGCTTGGCCCATTTGTTTCTTCTGGACATAAATTTAATAGATAATGCAATCACGACTGTTTTGCTCATTATTACAAGGTGTTAATTATAATTTGTCTCATTCAACATATGATGAGCGATTTAAGTAGACTTAATCCAACACGTACATGGGTTAGTTAAGTTTGATAGGATTCACACAGGTAAATGTACATTTTTGTACGTTTTCAGAGAATGTGATTTATCATAGATAAGACTTTATTAACACATTTCACCTAGGTATTTGGTTGAATTTTCCTAACTGAGATATACCATCGTTACAAGGATTTTATAGTACGTATCAAATATAATAAAAGACAAAATGTTAATGTTGAAAGAATAAAAATACTTTATTTGACCAATAGCACAAACATCTGAAAGAAAATTTTTTAAATATATTATATTTCAGTTCTAATAACTAAAATCTTAAACAAAACAATATCTATTATATATAAATTTTTATAAATCAAAAATCATATTTAAATTTGTAATAGATAATGTGATTATTTTATTGAGGTTATCTCCTCAGTAGCGGTTATGCCACCCAAAGGCAGTTAATAGGTAGTCATTATATTTAAGGGGATTGCAAACGTCTATTATTTCATCCAAAATATACCGATCTTTTGTCAATCACACCAATGGAACTGTTAACACGATAAAACTTTTGAAAACTGATTTGAATTTGTTAACATGTCTACTTGAGATCGATCAGTCCACTTTTTAAAATTTCGATCTCCAACTCCTTTACATTTGGTTTGAATATTTAAAAAATTACAAAATTATAAGTGTCGATTATTCCTTATTTAAATCTAAAATCTTAAAATATGGTCTGATCGATCTTAAGAGGACATATTAACGAATTAAAATCAGTTTTCAGAAGTCTTACCGCATCATTGGGTCCATCGGTAGAATTGACAAAAAGTACATACAAATTAGCATACATTCTTTACTGTTCACGCGCGCGACGTCGTAGCGGTGACTTGTACTGCGCGTGCCGCGTGCGTAAGTGTTTTTCTACTACTAATCCACCAAATGACTCTGTTCTAAGAATTTGCAGATATATACCGGAAGGTCTATAATAGGCAATAAACATTTCTACGAATAATGTCATATTGGGATGTCTATTATAGAGTATAAATTATAACACATAAATATATCCATTGATATTAATTATTACTAAATAATGTCTGCATGCACAACTACAGTATGCATTCAGCATTTCAGCCATAACATTGTTTGTATGCATTGTTTGTAATTTTCACTTTCTTACTGTTACATTGTTAATTGTTTTTTTTTTATCTTACAAAGATTATAAACAGTGTATTTTGTTTTAAAAAATGAATAACAATATTTTTAAAATAAAAAAGCAAAAAATTAGATTATCCCGAAGGAAAAAACACAAGGGGCATGTATCATCACTACAAAACTGGCAAGTAAATCGCATAAAAAATACGGTAAGTTAAAATAGAACGTACTTAATTTTAGAAATTGTCATTTACATGGTTTTAAATAGATATTTTATCCTAGTATTATTATTTTATTTCGTAGGAAAAATCTAATTCTTCAACTTTTCCGGATGAACATCAAAACAATAACATGCAACATCAGTTTATTATTGAAGAGTTCGTAAATTTATTTTATGTCCTATAATATATTACACCATTGACTATATAGGAGATTTAATGACGCTATTATTGTTTTTGTTTATCTATAAGCCGTTTTTTTTTTATTTTTTTTTTTTTTTTGTGTCTGTCATCACGTTTTAGGACAGTAAAAATGCTTAGATTTTCTTCAATAGTACTTTTTCTGATAGGAAAGTGAATCTAGTTGGTACTTTGGGGGGTCAAAAGTAAACATTTTACAGTACCGTGAAAAACAAATAGAAAATTAAGGAAAAAACAAGAATTGTTACGCAACATTGATTTTCGACAAAATCGATTTTGGTTTTTGGTGTAACTTTAAAAAAAATTACGGTAAATACACGAAATTACATAAAAAATTTTCTTTTAAATCTAAGATTTTAAAATGTGACACAAGATTTAACATAAGTTTTTCTACTTTTATCAAAAATTAAATAATATCTAAAAGCAAGTAAAAATAAAATTTATTTAAAATTAACCAACTATAGTAAATATACTAATGCCTAATACTAAAATTAATTATTTTATTCACCTTATAATATCACCAAAAATACACCTAGTAAGGTGATTGACTGATTGACCGTCTTTGCTCAGAATTGTTTTTCTTATACAATGATTTATTATTGAATTAAAATCTAACCCATTCATTACAAAGACATGCTCAATAACTACTGTGCAGCAGAGCGGTACCCTCTGGTTCACCTTTTTGATTTTAAAATAATATTTTATTATAATTTTATCAAATGTATTTATTTATTAAATACATTATATCGTTATAGTACCTATCATTTATCATTACATCGTGAAGTTGAATTGTACTTGTTTTCAAATTATAATATAAGTAATAGGTTTTCTTTATTTTATACATACTTAGAATTTGGTTATTTGATTATATAATTTTATTTTATTTACCAACAAAGTTATAATTGAATAAATAATTCCTTACTATCTAAATGTTCAAAGAAGCCGTTGTTTTATATAAAGATCAATAATAAAAAAAAAAATTCTTATTAGCGACATTATTATATTAGCAACAACGGATGTGGGGACGAGGTGGCCGAGCGGTCTAACGCGTCGTCTGCGGCGCTGGCAGTCGCGGGTTCGACTCCCGGCCACTGGGCGGCATTTTTCTCCGGGCAAGTCACGGTGTCCGGAAAACAAGTGCCGCCATCCCCTACTCCGGGGCATGGCAGAAACCTACGGGTGCCCCATTCAAAATTCTGGCAAAATACACCCACGTGTAACACCCCCTACCGTTAAATAACCTACAGTACCAACCCCTCTCCCAATGGCCTAAGTTGCCGCGGGATAAAATTAATAAAAAAAAAAAAAAAAAAAAACAACGGATGTGTAATTATTATTATCATCCGTATTACAAAATAATATTATGTACATGAACATTAGAGTACTCTAATGTTCATGATTAGGTAATATGTTCTCAAAACCTCCGCTCTCACCGCTTCCCCTTCTAGTCGGTAGTGTCACTAACACTAATGATCATTTACTACGCACACACCGGTACAGCTCGCACGCACGCACATATATTATTGCCTATACTAAACTCCTTAAAAACTGTCCGTTTGCAATCCCCTTAATTAAAAATTTAAGAATGTTGTTAAGTTTCAATAAAAAACTCTAAATAATATTTGGTTTAAATTCAATAAGCACCACAAATTAATAGTTACATATCCAAAAACATTTTTAAGTATCAGCTAATACTGGTAATTACTAATTTATTCCTACATCTACAAATAAATCTATGGTAAATATATGAAAATATTAATAGTTTAAAGTTATTTTATAGAAAGATTAATGCTTATTGAGATACTGCTGAGGGCGGTGGATGGGATGCTAACCCCGACCAAATAAACCACTGAACTCAAATCCTAATCTTAAAATATATTTTAGGATTTGAGCATCAGTGGCAACAATACTCACTACTTTTATTCTTCCGGAACAACTACGGCACCATCATCAATTCCTTCAATGATATCATGTGGATTTTTTCCATCAACAGTACAACCCACACTCTAGAAAAGAAATACATTTTTATTAAATGAATAAAACAAGTATTATTATATTAATAAATAATACCTGAGCTGATCCTAAAATTTCTTTTACGGTTCCAGCCAAAGTTCTGGCCATTGATCTTGGTCTCATTGTTCTACTAATGTTAATAATTTCATCCAAAGTTACATTTCCATTGTGTTTAACTGTAAAATGATATATATTAGTTCAGAAAATAATCATAATGAAAATTAATATGTGAGAAAGATTAATGTATGAGTCCGCAAAACCAGACAATGACACTCAGTAGTTCTGGGTGAAGCAACTCTATTATAATTTTAATATACGACAGTTTGTTAAAATCATGCAAGTCATTAAAACTAACATGAGGAACAATAGTCGATTGAGGTCACATACTAAATAATTGTCAAGAGGCAATAAACATACCATTTTTGACCTTCTTCCTATCACGTGGTGGTTCCTTAAGAGCTTTGATCACCAATGATGATGCAGAAGGGACAACAGATATTGTAGCCACTCTGTTTTGGATGGTCAATTTAACAGTGATTTTTAGACCTTTCCAGTCAGATGTAGCCTTGGCAATATCATCACCGACTTTCTTGGGAGACTAAAAGAAAAAAAAAGATGTTTTTATATTAATTTCGTAAAATCTATGTAAGCTCACATATAGTAACAAAATAAAATAATTCTAGAAACTTACCAAACCCAATGGACCAATTTTCGGAGCAAGAGAAGATGTAGCACCAACTTCTCCTCCTACACATCTCATGTACACTGCAAATAAATAAATATCAGTAGTTCTAAGACGAATAAAATAGATATAGCACAAAATTATTTTTACAAAAAAAAATTAACCTCTAAATAAAATGTACATTATGCAATTATATCAAGTACAAGTCATGTACCTACTACAAACACTTATTAGAGAATATCAGAAGAATCATTTAGAAATTAGATTTCTCAAATCAAAATAATAGAATTCTAAATTTCAATATAAAATACGTAATATACTATAATTTTGTCACGTGTTTTTCAAGAATTTGTAGAAAAAAAATGTATTACCTTCTTTGACTTCGCTAGGGTCGAATTTTGGTGGCATGATTAATTAATAGTAATTGAACAATTAAAATTTAATTGAAAAATAAATAAAGAAAGTTTTTTGAGTAACCCGAGAGTCGAAAATCACGGAGACGGAACCAGAAACCGATCGTAAATGAGAGAGTCACTACCCACTAGCCACAACATCAAGGAGCATTGGCTGGTTGTCACAACACTTAACCTCAAATTATTCCTATTGAGGGGGGAGTTTATACCACGGTTAAAGATATACTTATATATCTCTAACCTTGGTTTATACGATTTTCATTTCTTGTATTAATAAAACGTACAGTGTAACCAACTTTACTGCTCAATGAATTGTACATTGTATCTGTACAACAATTTTATATGATTTAATTGTGGACTGTGGTTAACAAATCAGCTGGTGATACCACAGAACAATATGATAATATGATACCCTAACGGCATCCCTAGTACTGACTAGCATATTACCAGGGGTACGAAACTCCGACACTCCGTGCGTTGGCCGAACCAGGCGATTGCGGCCTAGAACCACAGATTTCTATATATTACTAGATAGCGAACTCCGGTCATGAATTGAAGCTTCAAGGTCGGTTGGCAATTGTATGGTATTTCATATGACAAATAAGATGATATTATGATTTATTTTATATCGTATTTTATTATTTTTAAACATTTAGTTTACAAAAAAAAAAAAAAATATTTTATATAAGTCATTTTACATTTACTATTTTATTTGACCGTTAAAAAAAATATTATTCCTAATACATTTTGTATAATAAATGAAATGTTTTGCCAACCGACAAAATGGCGGCCGTTCACAGCTGAGCTTCATTTGTAACAATGTATATTGTACACGGACTAAGATATAATATAAGACATATCTTAGTCCGTGATATTGTATAAGAGTTCCTTATCTAGTGTAGTATAGAAGTCTGTGCCTAGAACCAAATACTATATACGATACGTATATAGTATTTGATATAACTAACAATAATCGGAAACACAGCTGATACGGTTTATGCAGAAGGAAGTAGCTAAAAAAAACATTTTACACAGCTCCCGCCTCCCAGTTGTATCCATACCCCCCTCCTCCACAGTCTCTTAATGATATTTTAGTTTAAAATATTAATTACCTATCAGGGTTTGTGCAGTGGATAAAATTTTAGTCTCCCCAGAAAAATAACCCTAGTTGCGCCTATCATCCCAGTCCGTAGCCCGTAGGTACTTTAATACTCAAACGAATATATGTTTAATAATTACTGATTGGTTTAATAATTATTAATTACTGATATATACATATAATAATATTGTCCCAAACATTCTATGCCGATATCGTTTTAGTGTTATATAATATATTTGATACATCAGATCCCATTCAGGAACAAATTGAGTTTGAACTATTGTCTGCTTCAGTGGTCGTCAACCTTTTTGATTTCTGGGGCAGCATTCACAAATGAAAAAAGTCTCAAAGGGGTCGTGTACTCGTGTCGGATAAAAATTAAAATCTTTTAGACAAGTTTTCAGAAATAATGGTTGTATGGAATAGTCACGCAAGCCGCCGGTTGTCGACCACTGGTCTACTTGAAATTAGTTCAGAGAATCCTACTGGAAATTAAAAATAGATTTGATTTTTATTATTACAAAAACGAAATTTTTAGTAAGAAGTCAATAGGAAAAGGAAACTTTTCTATTTTACCGGACACCATTTTTGTTTATGTTTTTTTAACGTAGCCCGCAGGTAGTAGTTAAGCACACTGAATACGACGATTAAGTCAGAATTTGACGCTCGGACTTTTGAAATTAGCTAGTTGAGCAGGGTTGCTACAGAATTTAGATTTCAAAATTCCCTGATTTTCCAGAACATTTTCTATAAAATTGTTACTAAATGTATATGTTTTTTTTTTTTATAACACCTATAGTTGTGATAATAGGAAACATAGATTTGTTTATTTTAAAAATCACAGATTAATTATTATTATTATTAATTTATTATTTATTATTATTTATCGTAGGAAAATTGTATAATACAAGAGCATGAATATAAACAACATAATATTAAATTAATAATAAATAATACAATTTGAATACATTTAATTATTGTAAGAAATCAAACCAAAACTTAACAACTTCAGACTTATGGGTTGTATAAATAGTTACTGAATAGTTTTTTTAATTAACTATTATTATATAATATAAAATACATTTAATTATTATAAGAAATCAAACAAAAACTATAGTTCCAGTTACTACTGTAACAGTTTAAAGTAATTTAAATAGAAGTATAAAGTCGATTCAAATTAAAAATTAAAAATTATTGTTATTTCATTATTGATGTAATGATGTCCCTGTACATAAGCAGTTTTCGAGTGATCTTATTTTTTCCTTTCGAATTTCGATAAGTCTTTTCATAAACGTATTCTCTGATTGAAGTTTGGACGTGTAATCAACCAAACTTTCCTTTTGCTGTTAAAAATTAAATTTTAATTATGGCCTATTTTAATATTTGGTAGATATTTATTATAATGTATAAATCTCACCTGGGATATATTGTTTCTGGTATTTGTTATACTTGTATCACAGCACTTTTCAGGAATTCCATTGTCTATGCCATTTAATATCAACGACTGCATTGAACAAATTATATAAACATATTTTCAATATACAATTTATAATTTAGTGACAGTGCTTCATACATATCGTCAAAAGATTTTTTTGAAGGGTATAGGTACAAAAACTAAGTATTGAATACTGATTCAGACAAAGATATTAGTTTCATTATCATAATTATTAGTTATTACTTATTACTATCTAAGTTCTAAATATAATATAAACTTGGATTAATTTCCTTCCCCATGATCATTCTGTAAACATTCAACGGAGAGCATTTTTGAAATGAAAATTATAAACTAATTTATGATTAATAGCCACTCATATAGTCATATTGGCATATTGCTAATATTGTGGATGCCTATTCATTTTATCAAATAACTTACTGAGTAGTGAGTAGTGACCCTATGTATAAGATTGATCCTGCAATAATTTAATTTTTGTAATACTACACTAATATTTGTACTAATCAATTTAATATTTTAGTACACTAAACTTAGATAACGCTAAATTTTTACCATCTGACTTTTAAGCATGGAATAAGATAGAAAGGACTGGAAACGAGCATATTTTTAAAGGGTACGAAGCAGGACCGGATTGGTATGTATCGGCCCATTGAGATTTTCACTTCTAAGCAACCCATTTACAATTCAGTGGACCAAAATTACGTCTATAATTATTACGAGCTTAGGTGGCCCATCGTATTTTGAACATGAATTTATTTTCCCTCACACTCACACGAGCAGCCCAAACTTTAAGTGGCTTAGTGGCCCTTTTCTCGGTAGCTCGCCTAACCAATCCGGCCATAGTCCGAAGTGCCTCGCTGATTTCCGTTGTACACAGCTGGTCTTAACGCTACCTAGTGGCTGGGTGGAAAATGTAATGATGATAAGAATTAAAATTATATTATACAAATAGTTGATATGTTACCAAGCAGATAGCGTGCAGTTAGCTGTGTACAAATTTGGGCGTGGAAGAGTAGTGGGACCGAGGCAATTGCGGTCCCGGAACTTTATTACTTTACCGGACACCCCTTTTTTTTGCAATTTTTTTTTTAGACTAATGTAATTAACTATACTGAGCACGATGGTGAAGTCAGAATGTGGTGGTCGGGACTTAGTTTCGAAGTTACGGCATAATGAAGTTCGCTATTTTACGAAATAAATGTATTGTTTGGTGTCAAAATAGTACATTGTAAATACCCAATATAAAACGTATTGTTATAATAAAAATGTATAGGTATTTTTTAAATGTTTATTATACCTACTAAGAGTCTAAGATTTTGTATTAAAACAATAATCTAAATTACTAAAATCATATTATTATATATGCCATAAAGTTCACCATATATATTATTAGCCTTTCCTATACCTACTTAGTTATAATCAATAATCATCCTTTTGAACTGTTTATAAATATTTGAAATATATTATCTACTGTTTTTTATATAAATGTGAATACAAAAAATTTTACTCGGTCAAAAACCTTGAGAGTATGTCTGCACACTATTTATTTTCCCTTTGCCCTCCTCGGAACATATAGATAAAAAGCATTTACAGAAAATCATTTTATTTATGTTGTAAGTAATATTAGAGTAAAAATGTAAAATCACCCATTACAACAACTATAGAGAATAATATTTTTGAGGGTAGGTATTACAAATCGATTATAAAATATTGTCTCAAAACAGTTTAAAAATCATTTACCTATAATATAAATATATTTACAATTTTTTTTTTTTCCTTTTTGAAAGTCCAATTTTAGATTCTGAGTGGAACGATGAATGTATTGATTTTACAATGATGTATGTTTTTTTTTTTTTTTTTTTGTGTCTGTCATCACGGTTTGGGGCAGTAAAACTGCTTCGATTTTCTTCAAAAGTATCTTGTTCGATGAGAAAGTGAATCTAGTTGGTGCATTCAGGAAATCAAATTTTAAAATTCCCAATAGTTTTCACAACCGCCGGGAAAAACGAACATAAAAATTAAGGAAAAACGTTAATTTTTACGGAAAATCGGTTTTCCACAAAATCGATTTTGGTTTTGGTTTTTGGTGTAACTCTAAAACAAATGAATGTATATACATGAAATTTTCACTAGTTTTTATATTTGCATTAACTTTACACTATGAAATTTTCAAAATATTATGATTTGTTTTGAACTGTTTACGAACATTTTCATTTACCATTTTTTTTAGTTTTTTTTTTTCTAAAAATATCAAGAACATTTTATTTGTTGGTTAAAAAAGTTTGAAAATTTAATACAAGGCTACTAGTATATTGTTTCAAAGGCAGATGAAAAATATTAAAAATCCTTAGTCACAGTTTTTTTATAAGCATTTAAAATTCAAAAATTGACAAAATATGGAAAAATCACGAAAATTAGCAAATTATTTTGAGTTAAGAATTTGTAAAAAGTTTCCTTTTTAAATCTTAGATTTGAAAATGTAATACAGGAATACTCATAAGTTTGTCTACCTTTATCAATAAAAAATCTCTGCCGGAAAGTCGATTTTATGAGCGTTTAAAGTTCATAATTTTACAATATTGGATATTCACTCGATTTATCGTGTAGCGATTTCCTTATTTTGTTGTAACTCAAAAACCGAATAACTGTAGATACATGAAAATTTACTAAATGTTTATATTAGCATTTCCTATACACCATACAATTTTGAAAATATTTTGACTCTTTTTGAGCTGTTTACGGACATTTTCAGTTTTCAATTTTTTAGTTTTTTTTTTCTATAAATATCAATAATGTTTTATCTGTTGGGCCAAAAAGTGTAAAAATAAAAAGGCTCATGATAATATATTGTTACAATATCAGTTGAAAAATATTTAAAATACAAAGGCACTATTTTTTTTTATAAGTATTTAAAGATCGAATTTTGACAAAATGTATCAAATTTAAAATTAAATAATTATTTTGTTGTTAAAAATTTATAAAATGTTCAACTTTTATATCTAAGGATTGAAAATTTAAAACAAGATGATTCCATGTAAGTAGTAAATTTTGATACCAAAAAATCTAAAAAATACACAAGCACAGTTTATTTTTATTGTAATTTTAAGTTCAAATTTTTACGAAATTACATATTATAATCGATATTAACGATTTTGGTTTTTTGTTGTAATTTAAAAATATTATTCGGGGATATATGAAACTGACAAATCAAAAAATCAAAATATTATGGCCTATCCATACAATCTACCATAGTATAAGGAATTACCAAAATTTACAAAATTACAAATTACAAAATTTTTTTATTACCATTGATATGTATATAATATGTCTTAAACCTAGACTGACATACCGTCTCCGCTCAGAATCGTTTTACACTTAGATATGTGTGTACACCTAACCTATTGGACTTGAAATGTTTACAAATATTTTTATTGATCTTAAGCTATTGTCTCTTTATATAGATGATACCATGTTGATATTATTAATATTAAAATAAATTACTATAATAATATTAATAGCAGTATAAATATATAATAAAATATCCTTAGAAATATAGGCTGATGGCCATCTCCACTTAAGGTTGTCTTGCATAGGTATGCAATAATATTTTATCATTGAATTAAAATTAAAATTAACATGCATTGCTAATCGACCTACTCAATGGCGAAGTACACTCTACTACTCGACTCCTATATTATAATATTGTACAGTAGAGCGGTTGTCGGGGCGGAATTAACCGGTCTCCGACGTCTTAAACTACACAGAGGGCTGCAACTCAGTCACAGTCATTTTTAGATTCTGAGCAGAGCGATGAATGTATTGGTTTTACAATGATGTGTGTTTTTTTTTTTTTTGTGTCTGTCATCACGTTTTAGGACAGTAAAAGTGCTTGGATTTTCTTCAACAGTAGCTTTTCTGATAGGAAAGTGAAACTAGTTGGTACTTTGGGGGGTTAAAAGTAAAAATTTCCAAGTAGTTTTTACAAGCGCCGGGAAAAACAACATAAAAATTAAGGAAAAACGGGAATTTTTACGCAAAATCGGTTTACCAAAAAATCGATTTTGGTTTTTGGTGTAACTCTAAAAGAAATGAACGTATATACATCTCATTTTCCATCTTTTTTTAGTTTTTTTTCTAAAAATATCAATAAAATTTTATTTGTTGGTTGCGAAAGCTTGAAAATTTAATAGAAGGCTCCTAATATATTGTTTCAAAGGCAGATGAAAAATATTAAAAATCCTTAGTCACAATTTTTTTTATAAGCATTTAAAGTTCAAAAATTGTAAAAGTAAGCATTTAAAGATCAAATTTTGACAAAATTTATCAAAATCTCGAAAATTATCAATCATTGTAATTAATAAATTATAAAATGTTCAGTTTTTATAGCTAAGGATTGCAAATTCAACACAAAGGTTCTCGTAAATAGTTCATACTGTAACCAAAAAATCTAAAAAATATATGAACACAGTTATTTTTTACAGACATTTTAAATTCAAATTTGGACGAAATTACATATTAAAAAACCAAGAATAACTATTTTAGTTATTTTGTTGTGATTGAATAATATTATTCGTGGGTACTTGAAACTTCTAAAGTGTACTATTATATATCTATGATAGTATCACGGTTTTTGTTGATGTATAACGCTTATAAGTACCTAATGGATATTGTGATATGATTAATTTGGAATTTATTATAGGTCAATTTTTTGTTTAATATCATAGATATGTATATAATATGTCTTATACATAGACTGACATACCGTCTCCGCTCAGAATCGTTTTTCTTATACAATGATATTATATCGCTGAATTCAAATTTAATATCATCCATTATACAGTGACCCACTTGTAACCTACTGTACAGCAGAGCGAAACCCACTTGCCCACCTTTTTTATAATATTTTTGCAGCCCCCTTTTATTTTTTTCCAATTCAAGCACTGGGGTGTATATTATAATAATATATATCCCTTTAATATTGTTTAATATATATAATATCTTATAACAATAAAAATCTTGAAAGAAATTAAATAATTACTAGTCTATTGTGATTACTGATTAGGTACATACTTCAATGTTACAGACTTTAGCCAATCGTTGAAGAGTGGTAAGAGATTCATACAGTTGAAAACTTGCAATTTTTTCAGTTATCATTAAATGTGCGTTTTTCAGTTTTAAACTTTCCTTTAAGTCCTGAATTTCATTTCTCAAATTAGCCTGTGTGTCTGAAAATTAAAAACCGATATTAATTTAGAACATAACCAGATACAATATTATATTTTTAGATATACCCGCCATGTGTGCGATTATCGGATTGTATTTCTCTCTTATATCTTCAATCTCATTTTGGTGTTGCAAAAGAATAACTTCTTTTTCTTTGGTTAAATTTTCCGTTAACGTTGCTTTGTATTCAATATCTTTGAGATGTTGATATTTATCTATCCAATAGTTACTTTTTTTAGACTGTCTCTGGACGGCGTTTTGCATGTTGTTCACCACTTTCTCATAACCGATTATAATATTTTTCCAGGTACCAACATTGTCTAGTAGTATGTCCATTTGATATTTTAATTTACTGTTAATATGCAAATGATTATCGGATAGCAACGAAGATGACCGCGACATTGCTGTGTGCAGCTGCTGCTGCAGTTTGTATTGGATTTTTAACTTGTGTATGATTTTCTTTTTTTCTTTCAACACATTATCTAATGTAACAATATAGCATTTTAAATTCAATTTATAGTCTTTATCTGACTTAATGCGATGTTTCAAATCATTACACTCATTTTGTACCAATGCGATTTCGATTTGTTTTTCGAGGATTACGAAAACCAAGAACAGCATTTTACAGAATAAATATAAAAATTATGACTGTTTAGTTAATGAATGTAATAGGCTTAAATCTGAAATGGATCAAATAAAAATTAATCTATGTTTAGCATTAAGTCGTAGATTCAATGACAAGGAAGATGTTATTCATTTGACCAATGTTTGCGCTGCGTTAGCTGCACGTGAAAATGAATATTATAACATACAAATGGAAAACGATAAGTTGAAATACGTTATAAATAAACAACTGATGGACATACGCATGACAATGTTAAATAATTATGATGAAATTCTACAAAGCGTAGAGAAGTTAAAAGAAGGACTGCATATTAAAGATCTCAAAATATCACAGTTGGGAGACGAGATATTATATTCGATTAATGAAGAAAAATATATGCAACTACAGTTATTTCATGAAAATGTATTTCAGTTTCCTGATCAGAACTTTCATGACGCATTTGATTATACTCAAAATAATAACGAACTGTACGAAGGCAAAATGTTGATCGCTGAACAAATCAACCAAATCCAAGGATCTAGCGACGTCGAATTCGAAGATCACAAATTGTGTGACTTCATTAATATGCTTGCAAAATTGACAACTGATAAAGAAGATAATTTAAAAACAATTAATAGATGTTTAGTTAGAAATATTGAAGACAAAAATCAACAACTAATAAAAGAAATTAACGATTACAAAAAATGGCAGATATATTTGGAAAACGAGAACGAAAAACTAAATTCTCAAATAAAAAACAAAATAATGGTCCAAACAATTTTAATTGGCAAACAAAACGAACATAACAACCTCAAACAAGATTATTTAAAAATGCAATTAATGTACGATAAGTTAAAAGAGAGAGACGCACACTTATTAGCGTTGCTGGACGAGTGCCGACAACGATTGAGTGACAGGGAAATTAAATGTGTCGACGACGATAGCCTAATTAAAACGCTTCAATCAAATATAATAGAACAGACCAATAAATACGAACTCGTGAATGCTAAGTACAACAAAGAAAAAGAAAAATGCCAAAAAAACAAACTTTACACTCAACAAATGATGGATGAATTTACGAACCGGCTCCTCGAAAAACAAATCGAGGTAATCACGTTTAATTACCAACCTGCACAATCATCACATTGTCGCAGCATCACGAGCCGGTTCGTAAATTCATCCATCATTTGTTGAGTGTAAAGTTTGTTTTTTTGGCATTTTTCTTTTTCTTTGTTGTACTTAGCATTCACGAGTTCGTATTTATTGGTCTGTTCTATTATATTTGATTGAAGCGTTTTAATTAGGCTATCGTCGTCGACACATTTAATTTCCCTGTCACTCAATCGTTGTCGGCACTCGTCCAGCAACGTTAATAAGTGTGCGTCTCTCTCTTTTAACTTATCGTACATTAATTGCATTTTTAAATAATCTTGTTTGAGGTTGTTATGTTCGTTTTGTTTGCCAATTAAAATTGTTTGGACCATTATTTTGTTTTTTATTTGAGAATTTAGTTTTTCGTTCTCGTTTTCCAAATATATCTGCCATTTTTTGTAATCGTTAATTTCTTTTATTAGTTGTTGATTTTTGTCTTTGCGTTTAAATTATCAAATGAATTAAGATTCTGATTAATTTGCATACCTATGGTCGTATAGTCGAAGACCACAATCTTGTTTTCTGTCACATGTGATGATTGTGCAGGTTGGTAATTAAACGTGATTACCTATTTTTCAAAATAATAAAAAAAATATTATAATGTATTTTATGTGTTATTTTATCTAAAATTATGCTCATGCATGTAATATATTTTAAATCCAATGTCTTAATAAAGAAATAGGCACATTTATTTAAAATGTAGGACTTTATTTATTATAGGACCTAATCAAAGGGATTAAACTGATTATTTTTTTTAAATACCTACTAACCTTGTCGTTTTTATTTTTATCATTATTTTCCGTTTGATTATAAGCATAAGTTTTTTGAAAATTATCAGACATTCTTTTTGCTAAAAAATACAAATTATTATCTCACTTAAAATAATTAAAATAATACAAGTATAGGTATAGTATATACTATATGTAATATATATCATATATAAATATAATAAATCCTAACTGAAAAACAATTATTATAAATATAAAATATTGCAGGTAGAGATGAGAAGTTATAGAAATTGCATAATTTTTCCCGTCTTCTATATGTGAGATATAAATCTGTTAAGGGTGCCACACACTGCAGCGGTGGCGGTAAAATTGTTTTGTCTTGGCGGTGCAGCCGTAAAATTGTGTCCGGACATTTTTTTTGCCATAACCGCTACCGCCACCGGCGCCACCGCTGAAGTGCGTGGGGACCTTAAAGGGATCTTACATAACCTATAATAAGTTTATACTGATACCCGTATTTTTAGTTTTTTTTGGCATATTTTGTTAGTTTGTTTAAGAATTGCATATTAATTAATTTTTTGTGTGTAAAAACTAAAAATGCATTTTTAGTAAAAATAATGTATCCTATAAAAAAAAGTTGAACACAAAATCAAAAACCAGTGTTTGGTTTATATTTGTGTGTATAGGATGATATAATTTTGTTAGAAAATGTATGATTAGCTGCACGGACATGTATAGGCGTTGTCGTTGCAGCGTTGTTACGGCGACGGTCAGTCGGTCAAATTGTATTCTTGTAATACTTACATTTATTAAATAAATGTAGCCACTAGCCAATGTAGGTATATTAAATATTAATGTAGGATTATTGATTACTAATTAGCAATATTAGTCACTAGTTTAATAGTCTGCCGTTTGTTGGATAAAACAAAGTAAAAAATTGTAAAAAGCTTAGACTTTTTTTTTTGTTGTTTCCTTATAACACCCTAATACAGAACACTATTTTTTCAAATTTAAAAAATGCTTATGGGGGTGATCTGATCCCCGTTGTATACGCATCTGGCCCAATATGGCAGTGCTTTAAAGAAGTCGGTAAAATGTTCTTTGTAAGTTATGGTCAAAAATTGCGTTTTCAAATTTAAACTTTAAAATAACCAAAAAAAGCATTTAAACATTTTTTTTGTAAGTGAGTTTTTTCATCCTTATAACATTTTGGTTGAATCATAAATTACGTATCGTACTTATTTCATATGCTAGAAATGATAAAGTAATTTTTAAATAAAACCCTGGTAGAAAAATAAATTGTATGCTGTATTTGTGTATAGAAAATACTAATATAAATATTTGGTGAAAATTTCATGTATCCAATTGCACCAAAAAACAAAACTTTTGTAGTAAAAATTCTCAGTTTTTCCTTAATTTTTTGTTTTTCTTGACTCGTTTGAAAATTATTGAAAACTACTTATTTTTGATCACCTAAACCAAAAGTACCAACTATCAACTATAAGTTCCTTCGCCTACAAGAAAATATATTGAAAAAGAAATCTGAAGGATTTTTACTGCCCCAAAAGGCGATGACAAACATTCATTGTAAAATCAATAGATTTGTTGATCCACTCTGAATCTAAAATCTTAGAGGGATGACTGGATGGGTGGGAATACGCAAAATTGCGAACTTCAAAATGTTATAACTTTGAAACTAAGTCCGATTGTCCGACAGACAAATTCTTATTGCACCATCATAGTTCTTAACTCGTTTAAATATACATAGGTTTCCGAAAATATTTAAAAAATCACTTAGGAGCTAAACTGTATGCCTTAATTTTGGATTCTGAGCGAATTCCAATGATGTGTTTTTTTTTCTTCGATAGTATCTTTTCTTATAGAAAAGTGAATTTAGTTGGTACTTTAGCGGGGGGTCAAAAGTAACTAAAATGTTGACTGAATGTTTATATTAGCATTTTCTATAAACGATAACATTTTCAATATTTGACTAATTATTTTGAGCTGTTTACGGACATTTTCAGTTTTTTTAGTTTTTTATTCTATCAATATCAATAAAATTGTATTTGATGGGTAAAAAAACTTGAAAATGTAATAGAAGGATCCTAATATATAGTTTCAAAGACAGATAAAAAATATTAAAAATCAAATTTGGACGAAATGACATATATTAAAACGATGAATAACGATTTTAGTTGTTTTTTGAAATTTAAAAATATTATTTGTAGATAGATGACAGATAGAGTATATTATTATATTTTATACACACAATGACAATACATTTTCAAATGTAATTTTTTGGCAAAAATGAATTTAACCTACTGTAGTAAATACTAATGTCTTATACTCTTCTTATACTGAAATTAATTACTATAATCACCTTCATATCATAAAATACTTGGTAATATTAGACTAGACCAAAATCTTCGTTCAAAATAATTTTTCGTTTTCAATGACTTTATATCATTGAATTCAAATTCAACACCATCCATTACAGTGACTCACTTGTAACCTACTGTACAGCAGAGCAATATCCACTTTCCCGATTTTTTTTTTTGTCATGTCTTGCCATTTTTGCAACCTATAACGTCTCATCCCTATAATTATCTTAAATCATAATGTATTAATTACATTATGTGACTATAAACAAATAGTAAGAATTCGTCGTATTAATTATTTCTAATTATCTCATCTAACCTAGATGTTATTAGTGATCAATTTGCATTGATAAAAAACATATTTTATGCTTAGGTACTGAAATTTTTTTACGTACAGATTGTATAAATTCTAGATTAAAAAAAAACAAAAAAATATATTTATAAACGCTAGTACCTAGTCATAATACTAGGCTTAGCTATATATAATAGCCGTTAGGAAATGATTGTAATTTGTAATGATCTAATGACGTTTAGATATACTAATACAGTCTGTATATAAATGCATAATAATATAATATTATGAAAATTCTGGTTTCACTTACCTTTTAATTCAACGTACAGGCACAGACTATATGAAGTGTTACTGAAATGAGTGTTCAGTTGAAAAAGTGATTTGTCATTGTCATATTGTAACGGATGAATGAATAACCTATAACAGTTTAATTATTTTAGCCATAGACAATAATACTACATTACTACAACTGCTACAACATTAATTATTATTTATTATTGGTCTTCTTTCAATGTACGATGTTTTTTCGCGTTGGTGTCACTGCTGAATTACTGGTATCAGGCTTGTTCACAGATATATAAAAATTGGTATTTTTATCATAGAGACATAAGGCGGGTTCACACCATAGATATATATTTTTTTTTTTTTTTTTTTTTTTTTATTGGTTAAGCATCAACTACATAGGTTATTAGCTTACAGGTGTTATTTCTACATTAAATAATTATATGGTATTGTGCAATTCAATTTTTTTTAAAAATAAAATTATGTTATGAAAGTTTGAAAATGGACCAATTGCTTCGTACAGGTTGTCTGGGATGTTGAGATCTTTTCTAGCGTCGTTGAAGTTTGGGCAGTGGATGATGATATGCTTGATGGAGTAGTTTGTATTGCATGTTGGGCATAGGGGTGGATCTGTCTTTGCCATAAGATGTCCGTGTGTGAGTTTCGTGTGACCGATTCTGAGTCGATTGAGAATTACTTCATTTTTTCTGTTTAGTTCAGTGTATTTCGGCCAGAGTTCGACAGAGTGCTTAATTTCTCTCAATTTATTTTCCGGGGTCGTGTGCCACTGTGAGTTCCACAAATCAATACAGTATTTGTTTATATTTCTTTTTATATCTACGCGTGAGGAAAAAGGAATATTTTCACTGTCTGGACTATTGACTGCATTTCTAGCCGCTTCGTCTGCCTTCTCATTTCCCTTTATGTTACAGTGACCTGGGGTCCATATAAATCTGATTTCTTTATTTGATTTGGAAAGAAGGTTGCTGATTGAAAGAGCCAATGGTTCTGATAAGGTTTTGGATTGTAGATTTGCTAAGGCACTGAGTGAGTCAGAGCAAATATCGATTTTAGTATTGTTGATATCTAGGGCAAATTGAACTCCTTTCAATAATGCTAGGTATTCAGCTGAATAAATACTGCTTAATTTATTGAGTTTGTACTGTTTAGTTACATTGAGGTGTACTACTGCAAGTCCTATGCCCATTTCAGTTTTCGATGCATCAGTATAGATCTGAGTGCTAGTATTTGAAGTGTGTATTAATTCATTAAATAGGTTATTATAAATAGTATTTGGTGTTTCTTTTTTAAGGTGTTCTGTTAAGCTAGTATCAACTAGGTAATTTGGTTGTTTCCAGGTGGGTATCAGACTGCTTTCGCGTTGACATATTTCATTAATTTCAATGTTGATATCCATCATCTCTTTTTGTAGCCTTAGCCCTAATGGTTTTCTTAGTTTAGAATTGTGTTCATATATATTTGAAAAGCGCTTTTTGTTTAAAAAGTGAATGGTTGAATTTTCCGGTGAAGAAAAGATGCGAGCTATATAATTAAGAGATAATTTAGTTCTTCGGTGCTGAAGTGCGGGTTCACCAGTCAAGGATAACAAACTAACAATCGGGCTGCTTTTGAATGCTCCAATTGAAAATCTCAGTCCGGCATTGTGGATTGTATCAACAATTTGTAAGAGCTTTGATTCTGAGTTTCCGTAACAAATTGAACCATAATCGAGTTTGGATCTTACGAGCGATCTATATACATTTAATAATATGGTTCCTTCAGCGCCCCATTCACAATGACTTAATGATTTGATGACATTAAGGCTTTTATATGAATTTTAGATATATATTATATATTATATATTATATATATATATTAATAATATATATCTATGGTGTGAGCATAATAATATTTTATTTTATACACCATTTATATATTTATATATTTTTATACGCCATTTATACGTCATGATGGTCATTTTCACGAATTAAGATATTTTTAGTTCAGCGAAAATTTTTTTATCGATATGTATAGAAAAAAAACAAAATTTCGAATTTCAAATGTAAAAATTTGGGGAACATTTCAAGTATACACAGACATTCGTTTTTGAGTTACGCTGAAAAACAAAATTGATTTTGTCATAAACCGGTTTTGCTGAAGTTGAAAATCGAAGCATTATTTTGACTACTTATCGTGTAGGTACTTATCTACCTACTACAGTACTACATAGACACAAATAATAAAAAAAACACACACATCATTGTAAAACCAATACTCATAGCTCCGCTCAGAATCTAAAAGTTACTTCATTACAACTAAAGTTTTTTTTTCAAAAATATTACTGGAGTTCAATAATCATGTTATCTGTACATTAACAGATATAAAATATAAATTACATTCAATTACAATCAACAATATGAAATTATCATCGGACAAAATTTGTTTGTAACTTACAGTTATGAAATATTTTATATTCTGCAATATTCCATGTATTCTGAAAATAACAATTTTGTGTCAAATAACTATATTGTATTATTGTAATTGACCAACTATCATAGTTTTTACTAGTAATTCTAAAATAAAAAAACCATATTGTATTATTGCCTATAACGAAAATGTTTCTTTCAGAAAATCGTATTTTTAGATATTACGATATATTTACATGTATTATCAATATAGGTAATTGGTTTTTAAAATTTAGTTAAAAAAAAAAACAAAGCGTATTTAACTATTTAAATAATTTACCTAGTTATAACACAAGTTAGGAAAGCTCACTCTGCTAGCATAGGTAGTAGGTAGGTACTAAATTCCCGATTTCAAAACGTGCTTTAAGAAAACACAATACTTAACCTATTTTCCTATTCCATGAACAGTTTAAAAATTATTTAAAGTAATGAAGTTGATCTTTATATTTTGGTACCTATTTTTTAATATTGGTCACTAATGGTTGTCTGAATCATATCACGAATATAGTCACCGATGTAATTATGACACCATTTAAATCATCGTCCATTGATGAGAATATAGTAGAGTATCTATGGATTTGTATTTTTTACTTTTTTACTATGATCAAATGCTATAGGTAGTATGTATTTGTCATTTTGGTACTTCCTTTAATTTAATAAAATATCGTAATAAATTATTATCCAAGATGTCATAAAAATATTCAAATTTACTGCCAGCGTATAATCCACGTCGTATTCCACAAACTCTAGGAAATTATAGGTAATACATTTTATTTATTTAGTACGTCATGCAAGATAACACATTTTTATTATTTATTAGTTTATTGCGAATATCATTTTTGACCTGAATATTGAACAATAATATAATTATAAAATAATTATTAGGTATTTAATATTTATTATATTTATAATTTTATTTTATTAAATATATCTATATTACCTACACTTAATAATATTTAATATTAATTAAGTTCAGGTCTTGGAAATAAGTCATCGTGATGAGCGGCTGTGAAGGTGGTGAGTGGTGACCGGGGGGGATAGATCCCCTACAAAACTTTTTTATGTTATAAATTATAATGTAATTTAACAACCGTAGCTGTGTTAGCTGTCCATAAGAATTATAATCATAACAATTGATGCCTGAGACAGTGAGACGTAATTGATAAACTATTAAAAATTAAATCTTGTTTTCAGTGGCGTATATACAAATTATTTTCACTATGGGCCAATTTATCAGTTATCACTAGTTAAGCATAGCAAGACTAACATAGCCATAACTATACATTTTTTAGGGAGCTGGGTGGTTATAATTATGACATATTAAACAGTACAAATAAAAATTGAGCAATTTAGTTTTATAATTATTATGTAAAATTAAATTTTTTGATTCTTTTTTAAAAAATATTGACAGTGCCATTTATATATTTTAATGTTATCTTACTATGAATTTAACATCAAAGTCAATAAATTATCAAAGCAAGTCCTGACAATCTAACATTTAATTGTTGATTCCTCAAAAACGATTTTAATCAACCGGCTAACTTAATCATAGTGAAAAACTTTTAACCGTGAAAATATACATGCAATGCTTTAATTCAACCTGAAATTTCACTATGGGCTCTGGCCTAGGGGGCCTCCCCCCTATATACGCCACTGCTTGTTTTATAAATACCTAGTGTTTAAGTATATATCCAGTGTCAGCTGGATTGGCTGATAATTGGGCCCCAAGCACTGTAAATTTTAATGGGCCCCATATAAAAACTTTAAAAATAAATTATCACTATATAATAAACTATCACTAACCTAATATTACAATAAAATATTTATGATTTTTAATTATCAAAATAGGTAATTTATAACTTTAAAATTATTTATTACTGTCTACCTATGATTATTAAAGCAAAATATTATAAACCAACCTACCTACCTACTTTTTTACTATTTGTATTCATAAAATAGAAAAAAAATTCAAGCAACATAAATAACATTAGGTAATTAAGTGAATTTTAAATTATTATAAAAATAATAGGTAGGTACTTAGTTTAGTAAATTTTTTGCAGGAAGATCTAATAGGTATATTAATAATGTCATCTTTGTTTATAAGTTGAGTGAATGTCTTCTTCAACAAACAGACAAAATAAAGGATCGAGATATTGTTGGCTTATTCGAAACCAAAGTTTAGTTTTTTAAATGTCAAGTTTTGAAAATAATTGTTTAGGTACATTCTACTTAACCTAGGCCCCCTAGAAATGGCTGGTGCTCCAGACCGATTAATAAATAATAATAATTAATTATGTTGTTATTAAAAAAATTTGTTGCATAAAATGTTGAATATAAATTATAAATTATTTTACAGTACCTCATATACAGTGTAAAGTGGAGTACCTATTAAAAAACCACAGACTCATACCTGATCACCTGACGGCTGACGTTTACCCTGAATTTAATTATGCCACTGATCATGATGTACCTTTATTTCTCATATTATATAATTTTTGAAATTTTTTTTATGTAAAATATACTTTAGGAGTTTTTTGTGAATGTTTTATCAAATTCAATAAACACAAACTAATATTATTATCTATTTAAGTAGGTAGTATAGTATTTATAACTAGATGTAAACTAAGTTCTTTTATTTTTTCAGACATGTAAATTAATAAGAAAACGCAAATACATATGATAAAGATGATATTATGTAGTTAATGAAGACCTTCAACAATAATTTGTCAGCATATATACATATATATTTTAATATATTTCATTCCTATCTATAAATGATGAGTGTCGTCAATAATTCCAGATCACTATTAAAATCTATAGATGCTTTAAACTGTGAAACCAGTAAATCATCCATCATAATTAAGAATATAACTCTTAATACAAATAACACTGAAAATGTAAACAAAATATATGAAACTGCAGTAGATCAACCAACTGATGCAAAAGACTATTATAGTTTTTCTTCAGATACAAATGAAATGTATTATTCAGATTCTGAAGGATCAAAGTTGTTAATTTTACCTCAACATGATACATTTGTACATAATATGCCGTCTGTCTTACATCTGCCTTCTAGTTCTGATTCTGATATTGATTATTGTAAAGTGATGAGTAACAAACCTTTGGCAACCAGTAGTCCTTTAAGTAAACTTCAAAGTAGCATTAAAAATAAATATTACAGGAAAAAAACTTCTAAAAGAGTATCAATTAATCTCAAAAATTCTAATGATGACATTAAATCAAAATCAAAATCAAGCCAGGTTAAAAAATGTCATAAGAATTCTGGTAAGACTATTTCTTCATACAAAGCATGTCTTAGTAAAATTCCTAATTTATCAAATAAAACTGCCTCGCCAAAATATAACAATCTGCAGTTAATAGAAAATCAAGAAAAATCTGACAAACATACAAAAGATTCAACTTTTAATAGTATAAAACAAGTATCTCAGAAAAGTTTAAATGATGTGACAAACATATTATACACAAATCAATCCCAAATAACTTTACAGAAGTCTAGTTTCACAACAAACACGACATTGAATAGAAAAAATGAAAACAGTGCATTTCAATTAAATTTGCTATTTGATAAAACAGAAAATTTAAATCCAAACAAATCAAATAAGATAGATCTTGTGAACACACCATGTCTTACTGAAATTCCTAATTTATCAAATAAAACTGCCTCACCAAACTATATCAATCTGCAGTTAATAGAAAATCAAGAAAAAACTGACAAACAAACAAAACATTCAACTTTTAATAATATAAAACAAGTTTCTCAGACACGTTTGAATGATGTGACAAACATATTATACACAAATCAATCCCAAATTACTTTACAGAAGTCTAGCTTCACAACAAACACGACGTTGAATAAAAAAAGTGAAAACAATGCATTTCAATTAAATTTGCTATTTGATAAAACAGAAAAGTCAAATCCAAACAAATCAAATAAAATAGGTTTAGTGTATAATTCATTGAAAAGTGAAAAAAGTTCAACAAAAAATCAAATTGAAGAAAATCAAACACTTAATACAAAAATTATGTATAATAACTCACAGATCATTTACAATATTAATAAAAATACAACATTTGATGAAAACCATCTGAATAACACTGATTTATCAGACATTTTTCAAATGGAATTGAGCTTAAAAATGTTTTCTGGAAATATTGTACCATACATGAATAGTATGAAGCATGAGATATTACAAATAATGAATAAATGCATGTATAAACATGATGAACAAATAACTAAAAGATCGAAACATGTTAATGATATTATAAAAAATATTCATAATATTATGAAAGCAAATGTATACAATTGTATTGACTCTTCATCAAATAAAAAAGATTATTCAACTATACCGTTCGTAGGTGTTGATTTGAATAATTTAAATGTGTTAAATAATAAGTTGGAATGTGTAAAAAAAAACTGGAACAAGTTAAATTATGCGAAAATATATTGAATGATGGAGAAGATAAATCTGTTGATCAACATGTACAAAATGATTTTTTGGAATTTAACTCTCTTGACGATTTAAAATCTTTTAAACCTGCAACCGATAATACCAATGCTGTAATTTCATCAACTAAAACTGCAGAACTTGATTCATTTAGTTGTATGAGAGAATTAAATAAATCAAATTCTTTACTACACCCTATTAGTGATTGCATGGATATTAATGGACCATCTCAGAAACCGATTTTAGAAAACTGTAGTTTAACATGTATAAATGATTTGCCAACAAATGAAATTTCAAAAACCATGGCACAAGATTTAAGTTTTTTATCTTATAATGAACCCCTTCTTGATAAATTGGCACCTATAAATGATAATCTTGCAAGTCAATTTGAAGATGTTATCTGTAATGATAATCAGATGGGAAAAAATCGAAGTCGTTACTGGTTAAGAAAAAATCCAAAATCAACTGATCATTATTTTTCATCTTATTTGAAAACTTCTTTCAAAACTCCAAAACAATCATGTATTAAATCAAAATACAATGATATGTTTATTTGTTCAGGCACTGGTAATAAAAAAGTCATTCATCAGTATAAACTTAAATCCGTGTTAAAAGCTAATTCAGATGAATTAATAAAAATAATTTCTCCAGAAATTAAGAATAAAAAGTTTAATAATGACAATCAAAATACTACTGTTTTTGATATTGAAAAACTGAAACCAAAAAAAATTGAAAAGCCTTGTCGTTGTGGAATATTTCCGTCTCAAGTTCCTTCTTCCTGGAATGATTCATTGCATACATCTTTACATAAAAATTTACATAAACTCCAGTTCAAGAGCCAACTTCCTGTAAACATAGCAAGTAAAATTAATGTCAATGGATTTATTTTCAACATAATAAAGGTTACAGACAGTTGTGATGATTTAAACCTTAGACTTACATTGAAGAATATACAAGATTTTATACATTTAGAAATTGATTTTTCTAAAAAAAGTATTAATAATAATTTAAACCATACAATATTTTTAGCAGTAGATCCTAAATTCAAAATCATTGGATATTTAGAAATAGAGCCGTTAACAAATGCATGTATTTATCAAAATAGTCAGCTTTCAAAAAACTTGGTTGCAGTAAAATTTGGCATATCAAAATTATGGGTGATGGTTAAGTATAGGAATAATGGAGTAGCAACAAAATTGTTAAAGCAATTTTGTAATGAAGAAAATTTACAAACAAATGATATTGCTTTTGCATTTCATGGAAATCACGGAATTTCCTTTATTAAAAAGCACTTTGCAAATAATTCTGTTTTATTATATTAAAATTAAAATGTTGTTTTCTATTATATTATATTTTAGACTATATTTTTTATTATTTTTTTTTTTTTAATTATCTTCTCTTTGTTATTTATTATAAAAATAAGCATATTAAATTATAACAATATTTTTGAGGTCATTATACATATCCACATAGGTAACTGTTTTAACCTAACCTAACCTAACCTAACCTAACTTTTATCATATTTTGTTTTGTCTGAAAAACATTAATTTAATGAGCAAAATAATATAGGCACCTACTTGAATGGATAATTTGAATTTACCTTATGAGATCCAAAATGTTTGAAGAACCAATTATTTATTCAATTAATTTAAGTAGGTACTTGGTAAAATAATACAATTTTCAGCTATAGGTACGCTTATAGTGGTCTACATGCTGAAGCTTATACATTATTAAAAACCAAAAGTAATATTATGTTTTTATAAGTTTATACACTTATATACTTATTTCTATAGACTATAGCATGTGATGGTGTAGCTGGTACTCATATAAATATGACTAAAGGTAATGTAAATTTTTTTCAGAGTTATATGATTCTAGAATCACTTTAGAGGTCCAAAATAAACTAAAAACTTAACATATCATGTATTACTACAATAATGAGTCAGTGGTAACGGGCCCAGGGGTTAAGTTAGAGGTACCCCTAAATTACTTATACCCCCCCCCCCAAATTTCCCATAAATTCCCTTATTCGTGTTTTTTGGTATTACCACCACAATTCATTTAAATGTATTTATTTATATAAAGTTATTCAGAATATTTTTGGAAAAAGTATTTTTAAATTAAAAGTATTCTGAATACTGTATTCAGACATCGGAATACTACCTACTCAAGACCATAGATATATATTATTAAACTAGATAGCCGACTCTGTATAGACTGTGCATACAAATAGGACGCCTGGTCGCCATATGCAGTTTGGGCACTGTTTACAAAATATAGATGTTGGTATATTTCTACTTTACCGGACACCCTTTTTTTTGCAATTTTTTTTTTTGAAATTAATGTAGTTAAGCACGCTGAAAACGATGGTGAAGTCCAAATTTGGCGCACGGACTTAGTTTTGAAGTTATGGCCTAATGAAGTTCGCTATTTTGCGATTTTCACGCATTCGCGCAACACTAGTTTATCGCGCGCCTACTACGAATATTGATACTTATATATTATAATTGAAGGGGTGAAAGTTTTAAGGTATTTTACACATTATAGCAAAATATTAAATTGGCCCACTTGGGGAGGTGTTGCACAGCAAATCGGGGGATATTTTCGTTTTAATTGTCCGAGTGAGCGCAGCGAGCGAGTGACCCCGCTCGGTGAATCGGTGCAACAAAAATGCATTTTTTTTTAAACCTGTGGCCCACTTGGGGAGGTGTTGCACAGCAAATCGGGGGATATTTTCGTTTTCATTGTCCGAGCGAGCGCAGCGAGCGAGTGACCCCGCTCGGTGAATCGGTGCAACAAAAATGCATTTTTTTTTAAACCTGTGGCCCACTTGGGGAGGTGTTGCACAGCAAATCGGGGGATATTTTCGTTTTAATTGTCCGAGCGAGCGCAGCGATCTAGTGACCCCGCTCGGTGAATCGGTGCAACAAAAATGCATTTTTTTAAACCTGTGGCCTACTTCGGAAGGCGTTGCATACCAAATCGAGGTTAAGTAGAAAAGTTCCCATATTAGTAATAATATACAATTTAGTAATAATGAGACAGTCGTAAAATAGCCATAATAATATAAAAAAAAGAAATCGGTAAAACAAAAATACCACCCCGCGCGGGAGTACTGTGGCGCGGGTATATACGTAAATTTTAACTCGTTGAAATACATAGATTTCCGAACAATTTGCGAGGCTGCGAAATTAGATTTGTTCCAGTAGTTTTAGTAATTTTCTATTTAGGTACCTATAATTGCATGATTTTTTTCCTTTTTTGTTAATTTTTGCACGACAAATCCATTTGTATTTATCGATTGACGATTGATCTTTAACCAATCTCATCGGATGTCCTCGTATACAATTTTGTTCATTTGGCAATTTACCAAATGACTGTAATTTGACAATCAAACCTAAGCCATCGTTCAGGCTTGACCATTCCATTAAATCAAACAAATTTATATGTTTCTCCATAGTATAGAATATTTAAAATGAAATTTAATGTTTTCGCGCCAGTAAAGAATAGGCGTGTAACCGGCGCTAACCGCAAGTAAACTGTTTAAGGTGCCACTGTATCGTGTCGTCCATAATTTAGGACGTCGTCCTAAAATTACAGTGTTTTGATTGGCTGAATATTGTGGTTACCTAATTAATATATCATGTTACCAGGCGTTACCAGAAAGTTGAAAAAAATTCAACTTGTCGTCGTGCGGTAACAGTCGTGGTTCAATCCTCCTGATAATAAATAATTTTGCCCTAGATTTCCTACTTATAAGCAGTGATTACAAGTTTTACGGCACTTATCGAAAAAAAAAAAATATTAATATTCGTAATAGGCGCGGTAAAGTATAGTGTTGCGCAAATGCATGGAAATCGCAAAATAGCGAACTTCAAAAGGCTATAACTTCAAAACTAAGTCCGTGCGCCAAATTTGGACTTCACCATCGTTTTCAGCGTGCTTAACTACATAAGTTTAAAAAAAAAAAATTGCAAAAAAAAGGGTGTCCGGTAAAGTAGAAAAGTTCCGGGGGGATATTTTCCTTTTAGCATTACTAGCGCCGCCCTAGTGGATACTTATGGAACTAGAACACATCATACAAATTTCTAGTTCCATAAGTATCCACTAAGACGGCGCTAGTAATGCTAAAAGGAAAATATCCCCCCGAACTCCGCCTGTTGTAAAACATTTCGTAACCACAATATTCATCTCGTGTCCAGTCCTGTATATCTTAGTCCGTGGTTTGAACTTTGAATTTCTATTTTTTTGATCAGTTACTTATCACAGTAATTGATAATGATAACAAAATATAAACATTGCCGTATCTGCATATGGCGGCCAGACTTCAATAATTGAAACAAGTCGGCTATCTAGTTTAATAATATATATCTATGGTTTACACTTACACCGTGTCGTGTCGCGTCGTGTTGTATCTAGTTTTTATGATCGTGTGATTACATTTCTCACGATCGTCATCGTTTCGTGGGTTTTATACATAGATATATATTATTAATAAAATATATTAATAATATATATCTATGGTTTTATACCAGACAGTAAATAAAAACGGATCACTACCTTTTGTTCCACAATTTTTTGTTCCAAGTCAACTTATTCCAATGATATTAACTTCCAAATTTTACTTTTGTTCCTATATACATTTGTTCCAATACCTATTTGTCGAAAAACATTTGTTCCAATGAACATTTTTTCCATATAAATTTCATCCAATTATATCTTTTCACATTTACATTAATTGTTCCGATGAACGTTTGTTACATAATTTATTTGTTCCACAGGATTTATTATACAAAACATTTGGAACAAATATTCATTGGCACATAATGGTCTTGGAGTAAAGAATATTTAGAAAATAATTGCGTGGAAAAACATTTGAATTGCATTTTTTATTTATGCATAAACCTTACACTTTAAACTTATAAGTTATAAGCTACTGAGGTATAACTGTTTAAGGTATTGATATGATATATTGTGTAGATTTGTGCTTACGGCTAGGTAAT